AAGGAAGGAAGGAAGGAAGGAAGGAAGGAAGGAAAGAAGGAAGGACGGAAGAGAAAGAGAAAGAAAGAAAGGAAGAAAGAAACAAAGAAAGAAAGGAAGGAAGAAAGGAAGAAAGAGGAAAAGGAAAAAAAAGTGATTCACATAGGGAAAGAAGTCAAACTATCCCTATTTCAGATGACATGATCTTGTATCAAAAGGACCCAAAAGACTCTATCCCCAACCTCTTGAATGATAACTTTAATGAAGTATCAGTATACTAAATTAAGCCACAAAAATTATGTTAACAATGTACAAGCAGAGAGGAAAATCAGGAAAACAACTCCATTTTCATTAACCTAAAAAAATCTGGAATAAGACTAACCAAAGAAGCAAAAATACCTTTATAGCAAAAACTGTAAAAACTGTGAAGAAAGAAATCAAAGACAAAGCTAGGTACTGGTGACTCATACCTATAATCCTAGTTACTTAAGAGACTGAGATCTGAGGATTGCCGTTCAAAGCCAGCCCAGGCAGAAAAGTCTTGGAGATTATTTTCTCCAGTGAATCACAGAAAAAACCCAGATTATGGGTGGCTCACACCCCATAATCTTAGCTACTCAGGAGGCTGAGGATCTCAGTTTGAAACCAGTCCAGGCAGGAAGGTGTGTGGGACTTTTATCTTCAATTAACTTCCACAAAGTACAAGTGGAGCTGTGGCTCAAAGTGATAAAGTGCTAGCCTTGAGCCAAAGCACCCAAGGACAGTGCCAAGGTCCAGAGTTCAAGCCCCATGACTAGCAACAATAACAAAGTAACAAAGTAACATTTATGGAAATGAACTCCAGAAAATGTAAATGAAGTTTTTTTTGTTACTATTTTTATTTTCTGTACTTTTTGTCTTATTTGTTCATTTATCTGTCTTTAGGAGAGTCAGTGGTGGGTGGGGGGCACAGAAATGAAGAACAAAGGGAGAACAAATGCAGCAATGGTACTCAACTAGACACTATGTGGAAAATGAACTACAAATTGTGTGTAGGGACGGGAGGAAAAACCTGGGAGAGAGTGAGAGAAGGGTTGATATTGTCCAAAAAGAAATGTCCTCTTTACCTGACCTTTGTAACTGGAACCCCATGTACATCATCTTTATAATAACAATAAAAAAATAAAAAAATCAATACCCAAACTAAAAACTCAAAAATGTGTTTTGAAGTTTTCCGGTCTTATTTCTGCTTCTCTTCCAACTTCTTCTCTTCTCTTTGTATTCATGGAACTGTTTTTTTTACTACTGGAAGATAAAGGTGATGTGATGAAAATTAGAAAGGAGAAGAGAAAGCTACATCTATGCTCTGCATTTCACACTTCGTTAAGCAAATCTGCATTGCTTAGGGGTACAAGTGGTAAAGTTGCCAGGAGTTATTTCCATGTGCAGTCCCATTGGTATTGGAGCAAATTGAAATGGCATTTTTGGTGCATGAAGGCCATATCATTTCAATACAGTGCTTACCAAGGGGTCTGTAAATGAACAGTGCTGGGTACTGAATTTTCCATTGCAATGAAAACAATTTCACTTTGCCAGTCTGTTTAATTTTAACTTCTATGAGTCTGTGTGGAATTATATATTCCTACAAATAGTATATTCTTGAAGTCTGTTTTGTCACACTTTGTCCCTCCATTTGTCCTTCATTTTCCCTCTTTTATCTGTCATAGTTCCTTTGGAGTTGGTCTTCTCTGATGGTTTTCCATTGACATATGAAAACGTTTTTTTTTTTTTTCCTAGATGGAAGAGACAGCCTTGGTCTATTACATTTTCTTACTTCTCTTTCAGTCAGCTTCTGTTACAGTTCCAGCTCCCCAGCATTACCTTCAGTTCCATCTTCTCTCAGTAGACTATTTCCACCTGGATTTGATATCACCTGGTGTCTTGAAGTACTTCACATTATATTTGATTTTGTCTTTTCCCTGTCACTTAATCACTAGCTTCCATTCTTTGGCTATGCTAAGTCTTGTCTTACATATTGGCTTATGGCTCCAGTTCTTTATCATAAATACTATCTTGTTCATTGTTTTAATTTTTTCCTCTTTTTTCCAAAGAGCTATCTTTCTTTAAGTAAAAAAAAACTGTCAAACTGACAACCTCCCTCTTTCCTGCAATCTAAATTACCTCATCCACTACACACTCTCCTGGAGACTTCTACTTCCCTTTGGAATTCAGCATATATTTTGTATTATACATTTACACAGTTTAATTTATTGATTGCCTTTCTCTCCCATTAGGCCAGAGATTTGGCTGAGTGTTAGAATCATATGGAAACTTCTTTCAAATTTAGATTTTATTTTAGCTCCATCCAGGCCAACTTAGTTCCTCGATGTGGGTCCCAGATTCCAGTGTTCAGGTGACTGATGTGTATAGTGAAGCATAGCATTCGACTGCAAACCTCTGGATCACCTTTGCTTTGCTCAGTTCCCAGCACGGCGCATGATCCAGAGAACTCAAAAGTTTCTCCTGATTTTTATTCACTAGACCATTCTAAAATCTCTCTGACATTTATCTCACTGTAGTTCCCTGCAGGTCTCCAGACATCTTTGTTTCCCTCTGCTTTAGCTCAGGCAGGGTTCTCTCCTGTCCTCACAACACCTATTTCTCCTTTGACCTGACTCACTTCAATTCATTTGTTTAAAAAAACTTAGTATAAACATCTTCTTTAGGAAATTTTTACCAGTGTCAGGAGGGAAAAATGTTCTTATTGAATGTCCTAAAATGCCCATGCTTATTTTACCATTATTTTGGATTGAAATACTTCTCATTCCTATTCATCCTTGTAAACTCTCCAAAGTCTTCCATAGGTTCAAGCTTATCATCTTGCTGTATTTTATTAATGTCTTCACCATGGAGTCAGATTCTCTGGGTATAAACCCAAGGTTCTAATTACTTCTCTCATCTGAGAGATGCACAAAAATATTTATACAATAAGAAGTTCCTTTCCATAACAACCCATTTTGAAATTGATATATTCATAGACTGGAATACAACTTTAAAAATGAGGTTTGTAGTCATTCCAAATGCAACATTTAATACCATCGGCACATTCCTCTGTTAGAAGCTAGCAACTTTAATCCCTTTATTTTTAATTTGATTAATGAAAACTACTCTATGTGGCTGTGGAGATGCCTAGGCAAATCAAAGTTAGCACATTAATATTTAAATCATGGAGAAATTATTTGTTTTTTAGTGTTTGATACTAAGTAGAAGAAAAAAAAATGAGGTTTGTAGAGTAGTTATTAATGTGTAAAATGTTCATATGACACATTACTGCCTGAAAAAACAAATTTCAAACATTTGTACAGTAGGATGCCACTTCCATGAAACAAGCTGTAGCTACCCATTAATTTGTATAAAAAGATAGGCATAATAGAAGAATAGTGAGTATATATGAGTCATGGATTTTTTGTGTCTTATGTATGTTCTATTTTAAAGTACCAAATAGATATTTGTGATCACAAAATGCACAGGAAAGTTGTCAGAAGCACGGCATTGATTATTGACTAGCTGGTTGCACAAAATGGAGGCAACTCATAGTTCACCAAAGACATAAAAGGGTAGAACCACCTATCACTTCTGTAATATTTCTTCTCATTAAATATCTGGGATTAATGGGGTGTAGTGATTGGTAATTACATTTGCACAAGGCAGATTTTCAGACCTTCCACACTCCTATCTTGTGATATATGTAATGAGGTCTGTATTGTCTTGTTCCATTTTTAGCTCCAAGAGTACATGAATGTTTTATAGAACTATATATCATAATTAGTTCTGTTCTGTGGAAGTCACCCTGGACTTTTATTTCAACTATGCTCTTGACCTATAGCAGAATTTCTCAGATGTATTTATTAGTTGTGTATTTGAAAGTTGTGAGCACTCACCTTTTTGCAGACAAAGTCACCAGGTAAATAAATAGTAGATTTCAACTTTAGCAACATGTCATGAATCATCTGGGTATCACAACCCTGTAGAATGGGAAAAATAATTTTATAGACATAGCTAAAAGACCAGTATTTCAAATGAAAATCACAATATGGTGAAAATAAACAGCAATAGATACTTGCATTAGCATGGCCTTGCCATGACTCAAGCTTGAGATAAAGAGTGATACGTACTGTTCTATCGTAAAAATGAAAAATCCGATCAAGTAAATATGGGATGAATCTCTTTGTACTACTTATTCCTATGTAATCTTTCAGTTTATCAGTTTCCTATGGTGTAAAATTATTATTAAAATGGTACATATTCTCTTTTGGAGGTGAATATTGAGATGATCATTGTTCTAAGCCAGTCTGGGCAAAAAAAACCCAAACAGGTAATGAAACCCTATCTCAAGAGAAAAAGCCAGGCATGCTGGCATGTGCCTTAGTCATAGTAGGAAGTGTAAATAGGAGGATCATGGTCCAGGCTGACCTGGGTAAAAAGTGATTCTTCTCTAAAAAAGAACCAGAGAAAATAGGGATGATGGTGTGACTCAAGCAGTAGAGCACCTGCCTAGCAAGTTTGATGTCCTGAGTTGGAACCTCTGAAGCCCCCAAACCAATCAATAAAACAAAAGAAGGTACTTTTATATCTTACCAGTAAAATATAAGTTGGCAGTATTTTGCATAGTAATTTTTGTAATCTCATAATAAACTGATATGCTTCATACTTTGCTTTTTGTTCAGACCACTTTATTACTTATATTTTTCTATCAAATTTTATTTTAAGTACTCTCTACTCTTTCAACCTATAAATACACAATATTGTATCCACACTGATGGGGATGACCACTGTCCCCAGCCATTTAGTGAGGTAGTCTGAGTAAAAGGTTTGTTTTTATTGTTTGTGTGTGTGTGTGTGCGTGCGCGTGTGAGCGCGCGCGCACGCGCACGCGCGCTAATACTGAGGCTTGAACTCTGGGTCTCCTGCTCTTGCTAGGATTTTTGAGTCAAGACTAGTGTTCTACTGCTTGAGCTATAATTCCATTTCTGCCATTTTGCTGGTTAACTGGAGATAGAATTTGTGGATATTTCTGTCCAGACTGGCTTTGAACTCTGATCCTCAGATTTCAGCTTCCTGAGTTGCTCGGATTGTAAAGGTGAGCCAAAGGCTCCTGGTTCTTGCAAACTTTTATGCCAAGTTACTCTCAGTCTCCCAGTCTCTACTTTCCTAGTAGCTAGTATTATAGGATTAATCCACTGCAACTGGATGTCTTTTTAGGATAGGCTCCTGCTTCCTGTAGGAGAGTGAAATACCTACTTTTTGTTTGTTTGTTTCCAGGCCTGGGGCTCGAACTCAGGGTCTGGGAACTGTCTCTGAGCTTCTTTTTTTTGGGGGGGGGTCAGGTTATGGGGCCTGAACTTGGGCCTGGGCACTGTCCCTCAGCTCTTCAGCTCAAGTCTGAACTTCTTTTGTTCAAGGCTAGCACTCTACCACTTGAGCCACAGCACCACTTCTGGCTTTTTCTGTTTATGTGGCTTTGAGGAATGGAACCCAGGGCTTCATGCATGCAGGGCAAGCACTCTACCACAAGCCACATTTCCAGCCTTGGATGTCTTTTTAATACTGAGAAAAATGCAAATGGTGTTTTATCCATCAGTGGATAAAATATTGTGTATTTGTCAGCTGAAATAATATTTGATTGCAAAGAATACAACAAATAATGTGGTCTGAACAAAAGCACGGTATGGAACATATTATGAGATGGTGAAAAAATACTACACAAAATATTGCCTACTTAGATTTTATTGATAAAATACAAAATTCTAAAAATGATAAGAATATCCTCAAAAATCATCTTTGTAGCCTCGTTGTGAAGAAGGGACAATGATCCTTGGAAAAAACCTGATGAGACTTCAATTTTAATTTTTATTAATTTAAAATGGTAACAAAATAATTTCTTTCTCTGCAGAGAAATACATTTCATCTCTCCCCTCCAATTTTTCGTGCAAGCTCACTGGCAGAAAACACTAATAAGAAGACCAAATCGATGGGAAGTGTTAGACCAACCTGGGAGATAAGCCCTAAAATAGATAAGCAAACAATTAGTGTTATGTTTATAGGAAGACACAGCACTCCATCAATAGCTTTCAGCCCAGGGCTTAGATTTTCTCAGAGAAAAAACAGTGGAGCTATTCTGAATATGACTTTTTATGAACATTCTGGGCTAGGACGTGGAGTGAATCACACAAACTGAACTTAACAGCTGCATAAAGATGTAGAATTTGTCTCACCCATGAAACCATTCTGTCTGAGGATGGCGTTCTAGAAAGGGGCCGCTGCTGACTTTGGACAGCAGCTTTGGATTTCGGCTTAGTGAAATAAAGTTTGCATTATGAAATCATTCTATTTTATGATGTGTTGGAGGGTGTTTCTTTTTATTTTTTTTCTGTAAAAAAATCGTATTTTTCTCCAGATACGCTTTGCTTTGTTACTATATCATTAAAACAAATTCCATCCTAGGGCTAGCTTTTCTTTTCTTTGTGATTTAGTTCCTTTCCCTTTCCTCCCTCTCTTCTCCTCTCCCCTCCCCACTCTTCCCTTTACTGGTTAATTGAAGATAAGGGTCTCACAGACTTTTCTGCTTCAATTGCCTTCAAACCACAATCCGGTAGGGTCTAGGATTACAGGCTGAGCCAGAAGCTCTGTGTTAGCTCCATTTCTTTGACAGAAGTCATTAGGAAGTTTTCTGTTTAGCAGAACTGAACTTCCTATGGTCCAAAAAAAAAGGAATTGCTTCTAACATTTGATTTCATGCATCAGCCAATATTTGTTTAGTGTCTAGTACGTCCCAACCCTGTGAAACCCTGGGGATGCCACCGAGCACAACCCTTATTTTGGTCATGCTTATAGCAGCATTGGAATTTGAATGCAAGGCCTTGTGCTTGCTAGGCAGGATTTGTACCACTTGAGCCACACACATAGCTCTTTTGATTTAGTTCATCTTTCAGATCCATACTTTGGCCCAGAACTTCTTTGGACTGGGATTCTTCTGTCTGCTTCCTGCAGAGATTGTAGATGTTCTTTCTATAAAATGAAGATAGCTGTGCAACTGTCATATTGGTGCTGAATATTTGTACTAAATTTTATTGTTTTGTTAACTTGTTTAATTTTTCAACCTCCCTGTGAAACCTGGCATTAATGAACATATTGAAATCACTCTTGTTTTTCAGAGGAAAGTTGGAAGTATCAGGAAGGCTGTCTGACTTTTCCTCAGGTCACACCTATAACAGGTGTCAGAGGCAAACTCTTTTAACTGCAGAGTATGGGTTTTGTCTATATCCATATCAACTTGAGGTCAAGGTGTACATATTCTCTGGGGTATCCCCACAGCCTCACCAAGGTTGGGACATGCTGCACATAGATAAATATGGGCTGATGTGGGGAATAATATGTTAGGAGCTCTGTAAAAACTGTGTTACATATTTGAGTAAAGATTGTGGAGATTAGAGTTAGGGGAAATCCTAGCTTTGTTCCAAATGCAGCCTATTTATAGGTTAGATGACTTGTTGTTATTCACAGAAAGTTATTTTAATAATGGAAAACTGGCCACAATGGTAAAGTTAGCAAAATTTATCATTGGAGCATCTACTGTTTTACTTCTATAGGACATTTCTAGGCTCATTTTTTGCTTTCTTTGAAACAGAACTTAATATATTATCAGTAATGTAGAACCCATATTTCAGTATTAGCTGTGGTCTCCAGGGCTTTTTCCAACTCAGCTTTGTTTATGGTGAGAGGAAGTGATTTGGCCTATTTAAAACTTGATCCTCACTAAAGGAACAAATGATGGCAGCAATGAGTCTCCAAGAAGTCTGAATCTAGTTGCCCATGCCATTGAATTGGCCAGGGATGAAACTGATCAGAAGCTGTTTGGAGCAGCTACATCTAATGTAACAAAAAAAAAAGCCATATGGTATAATGTCACATCTTATCAATATTGAGCTTTAAATCATATCTGGCCTAACTCTACACTTAACCTTTGCAAACACTAGTGAGTGTCACCTTTCCTGGGGAACTGGCAATACTTGTACTTTTCCAAGAGTTTCAGGTTGTCATGGTAAGAAATCATAAGATGGATGGACTCTTAAGGATGAGGCTAATCTATCTTTCTCTGATCAAATAGGGAAGAGCTTGATTTTGCCTATGTGGGAAAGTACATCAGTTTGATGTCTCAGTTATAAGGTAATGAGAATTGTAATTTCCTATGTGCTAGAAACTGATATAAGCAGTTTAGACACTTGATACAATCACCACACAACAACCAAACATGCCATCTTATTTAGTTTCCTTACTTAATGTGTGGACTCTGAACAGGATGGGTGCAATAACCTGTTACTGTCTCCAGTCAGTGCTTTTACACAGAGAAACTAATTGGGATATGTGGCTAAATGGAATTCTTCTCAGATATAAGATTGCTGTTCAAGATACTTTATAAAACCTTGCAATCATGCTTTATTATTGATATCCCTGTGATAAAAATAGCAGGTGGTAAAAAAGGTATAGTTTTGTGGTAGCATGGACATCCGGTGATGGTGAGTAAATGCATGATAGCTTGTCTAAATGGGGTGTCACCGCTGGAGATCTGAGTTTGAATGGTATAAGTAAGTCATTTTGTCATTCCCATCTATTCCTGAGCCAGGAATAGAAGCACTGTTTGCTAAATAATCACAAATAGTGAGTCATAGGTCACATCAATGAGTCTTTTTTGGGCTGGGTTCTGTATTTCAAACAGAGTGGCAAACAGACACATTTTTCCTTCTCTGATAGACAGTGGTATCTAAGCTACAATTTTGTTCTCTCTAGGTACTGAGTTCCCTTTGTTTGAGCTTAGGCTGTTTCTATAGGGTGCAGTCTTAATTCCAGCCACTAGGTGGCACAGCAGAACTCTCATTACGTTTTCTATTTCTGGCACTTCAGTGACAAGTGTGATTTCTACAGCGTTTTTAACTTGGCAAAATATAACTAAAAAATAAAAATCAGA